AATAATAAAATGAATATATACATAAATAAATATTTCCTTTTCCACAGCATCTTGAATTCTCCCACTTCCTAAAATTATAGATAATGGCATTACCAATGTATTAGTGTATCTAAGGAATTGTTCATTTCTCAGTTATTAATGATTTGAGACACAGTTCAGAAGTCATACAGGCTATCAGTTTGGTTTTGTTTAAGGGTTTGCTTTCAAGTTCTTTTAAATTAGTATGTATGTTTCTTTCCATCCCTCTCTCAAACACAGATGTTAGGACACAGTAAGCTTTCTACCAATGGCAACTGATCAATTAAAAATCTATTCCTTAAGGAAAAAATGGTTATTTAATGCAAATCATTGGTAATCATGTCAGTGTGATTGCTATAATCTATTAGAATCCCTTGCTTTGATTGGCCCATATTACTGTCTATGAAAAAAGTCTTTGCTTTCCATATACTTTTAGGTGACTTTGTCATGGTGTTGTCAATAGACTAGTTTTGCGTAGTTGCTTAGGGCCAACAAACATAATTGCCCTATGCAGTTTAGAAAGCCCTGCAGCATCCTCGAACAATGGAGACGTTCACTGACTATTTATTATCAAAAATCCTTATCTGATTAGATGATACAAGGTTCTGAACAGTTTTTATTATAAGAAACTTGTTGAAAATTAAATGTTTCTTTCTGCAACGGCCATATGTTGGCATCAGGAAGCACACCAGGGAATTCTTTCCCTTATACATAGCAGTCATTCTGTACTAAAATTGTGCTGCTCTCTTGGCTAACTATTCCTAGTTTTTCAAATTGCCATCATTAACCTTATTTTCAGACTTCGGTTGTTGGCCTCTCCACTTTGTCTAAATTGTCATGAATGTCTTCAAGGACGGCCTATAAACCAAATGTATCATGAGCTATATTAATGTTACCATTGAAGCCTGAAGACTCTGTAATCCAGACAAACAATATTTGAATATACTATTTAAGAAAAATTAATATTAGTCCACGATTAACAAAAGTGTCAGGTTTTAAAACAAGACAAGCCTGGGATATGGATGAGATAAATGAAATAAGTTATATCAACAACAAGGACTCCTGTTGTTGGAAAATTTCCTTTCTTAGGTGTAAAGTCCTATTTAACTGGCCATGGTGGTACATGTTTGTTTCCTCAAAAATCAGAAGGCTGTGGCAGGAGGATCTCTAATTTGAGGCTAGCCTAGACTCCATAAATTGGACTCCATACTAGGTTTGAGGCCTACAGAAAGCCTGTCTAAGCAAAACAAAACCAAAACAAATCCTATCTGGACATTATAGATTCAACCTCTGAAAGATGCCAGCTTCAAGACATTGTTCAACATGTGCTGCTGTCAGGACTCCTCACTTGCAATGCAAGCAGCCAGAGGCGCCAGAAAAGATCCCGTGTTCGGTATTTGCTCTGCCTTGCTATCTACCACTGGCACTGTCTCTACTTTTTACCACAGTTGTCTTGACCTCCATCATGCCTTGGCCTCCTGTCCTCACTGCAAGCCTATGGCTCAGGTCTCTCTGGATGATGCAAATATATGCATGGAAGCCCATTCCCAGCTCTATGATAACTGATTTGGACTGCAGTGATTTTGTTTTTGCACAAAAATATGAAAAATCTCACTCATCTTGATTTTTTTAATAATAGAGTTCATGGAGACATGGAGTCTGTAGTCCAGATTGGCTTATTTTAGTCTTTAAAAATTATTCAATACCAAGGCAGCTGTGAAAACATGTCTTTTTCCCATAAACTGATCTATAGAGGTTTATGTATTGCAGAATTTACCCAATAAGTTCAAGTTTGGTGATGGTAATTGAAGTCAAAATGCTAAGAAGATAAGATAAGCCGTTTTTAAAATCTGCTTTGTAGCTATACAAGTCTATGTTTACTTTTAATCCCAGCATTCCAGGGAGAAAGGCAGAAGGATCCTAACTTTGAGGTTAGCATATGTTACATAGAGGGACTCTCTCTCAAACAATAAGGTTAAATAAAAATAAAATAAAGTAACTGCTGCCTCTGCTTTATGCACTGAGTCCTCTTTGCCCCAAAGCTATCTTGGAAAATATAGTCTAAGTAGTCATTACATTTTGGAGCTCACAGCCCAAGTACATCATATCATCCACTGGGGTCTATATACATTGTTATAAAACCTGGACCTCTTCCCTGGACCTGACTCCTATATTAAACTTCACCCAGCCAGGGCTCAGGAGCCATTGCAGAAGAGAGGGCAGAAAGATTGTAAGAGCCTGGGAGGAGGTGCATGGCCATAAGGAGAGAGTCTTACAGGCTTCTGGGACCTTGTTATGAACTCACAGCAATGGTGTCATCATGTACAAGACCCATACAAACTCAATTGGACAAAATCCCAGCATAGAACTGGGGAAATGGACAGTAAGCCAAAGAACAATTGGTAGTTGATGACTGCTGGGTGGGGATAGGGCCCAAGACATCACCCCAGGCTTGACAAAATGCCCCCCGAAAACTCCAATTCAGACCCATATACCAACAGTTGTTTTCCAACTTCTTTCTCCAAGTGCTTCAGCTTTGAGGAAAAAAAATGGAATTCCCATTGGAATTCGCATTTGGAAAATACAATGATCTAGCCTTTATATGAATTTATCAGTATGTTATAAAGTATTTTTTTTTCCTATACAGTATGTTTGAATCCTGTCTCAGCACCTGACCACTCTGGAGTGATGTACAAAATTCATATTTCTACAATGACACTAGGAGGGATAGCACCAACAGATTTCTGTGGATTTTCCAAAGCTATTCCTTCCAAAAATGCCCCTTATGAGCAGTACCAAAGAAAATCACCACTGTGTAGCTTTCCTCCACCTTTGTATATTTTATCAGTCTCTCTTCCTTAAATGATTTCCGGTCTTACCACCTGATAAATCTCTTCTTTAAAATCCATCTCAAATATTACCAGTTCTTTTGTGAAATCATTACAGACACCCTACACCCAATTTAAAGTCAATCTTTAATTCTTTTAACCTTCTATATCATTTTACAGATACCAATGGTATATTACAGCAACTCCTTTTCATGATTCAATTTTCTTGTTGGTCACCATTACTATCTCTTGCACCTTTTACAGCAATTGACATAGGAATAATCCCCAATAAACATTTGTAGAAATGACATTTAAAAATTTCTCAATCCTCAATCTTGTTTTAGAAGACTGGAACCTACAGGAAGATTCCTGAAGATGAACACTTACTAGGGTCGAAATTTCTCCTTAAAGAACATCATTGAAATCTTGATTATTAAACTGAGTTTATCTTAAGCTCACTAAACTTGGCTTATTAGGATTAAATTTATAATTTTACCTGTTCTCTTTCTTTCATTCAGCCTTTCCATGTTCAACAAAGCCTTTCAGTTATAGAATTACACAGTGTCTCCCATAACAGTGAACCAAGTGGAAGTCTGGAGTGTCACGGGATTTACCAAAACCCCACAGCTAAGGGAGAGAGTTGAACTAGAACTCTGGCTTTTTAGGAACATTTGTTTCTCTTCTAGCTGATTAGGATGCTGTGAATACCCAATAATTACCTTTCGAGGATTTTTTATAGCACTTTAGTGTTAGAAGAAGCTATTCTTTAACAGGCACAGAGGCCACTGTGGAAGAAGTACGTCGAGCTTGATAACTCCCCAGACAAAGCCATTTAAGAATTCAATGTTACAAATATTATTCTATACTAAAACTGTGATTTTACTCTCTTATTAATAAAATAAATTAAATGCACACATATGTCATACACACACACTATTGGTTAAGAACAAAAGGATGAGTTATAGCACTGACCATAGTCTGTGTTTTCCGGCTCCCAACAATTTGATGGCCAAAAGTAGGGAGTCTGTGGAACACAAAGAAGCTGGTTAGATACACAAACATTTGGTAGACGTACTGATTTAAGACCTGTGTTTATCTTCAGTAATATCTAAAATAATTTCCAACAATATACAACTTAAAATCCAGAGCAAGATCCCTAAGAGACATTGCAATGTTTTCATTTATGTTTGCTATGCAGACCTATGTTCGGCCTTCAAATGTGGGGCATAACAGCAGGCAGTCAAGATGTTGTACATTTTCTGTCATCTTCCATCAAACCATATAAATTCATCAACAAAACAAGAAGTTTTCAGCTACAGAGAAAGCAGAGTGTGATATTCAGTACGACTCAGGACGAAGTCTGTTAAAATATAATAATCTCTTTCCTAGTGTACCCCAACACTAGGAAAAGTTCAGCCACAGACTCTTTCCCTGAGGCTTTCAAATTGCTTGCCGGGCTCCATTCATTATGGGAAGCAGCTTTCAATGTTACTCAACTGGACTACAACCTTTGACATTTCCTGTTAAAAGCATGCATTCATAAAGACGTTTATTGCTGTAAACTTTTAAATGGCGTAAACCAGAGATTGTTTTATAAATTAATAATATCTGATGTGATAACAATAGTATTCTGAGTCTTTAAAATTCTAGAATGTCATTGACTTGAAAACAAAAAGAAGTTGGATCTGTAAAACAGAAGAAAACCTTATTGTGATTATCAACAATATATACAATATATATTTTCGTAATTCTTCTAGGTCTGCTAGCCAGCTAGCCAAACCTAGCACAAGGACCCATGGTGGCCACAGGTCTGCTTAAGCAACTCTATTCCCTGGAATGAGAGTGACCCCAGAACTCAGAAGAACAGAGATGGCTAACATCAGTGTTCGAGGTTGATTATATGTATTAACTAATTATACTAATCATTATGTGCAGTGAGCATATTGTGAGAAATTTCTTAATATCTGACAATTCTACTCTCTAATAGACTGACTCTCAAAGACACAGAAAGGGATTCTGGGGGAGGAAGTGACTGAATCCTTAGGAGAGGGAATCTTTCTCAATGGTCTTAGACCACCAGAGGATCTTGACCTAACCGCCATGCCTTCTTCAAAATTACTTCAGTGTAATAAAGAAGGCTACTAATAATAGTTTTGTGCACATATGAACAAAATCACAGCAGGAATTTAAAAGAAAAAAGATTGAACCACTAGATAAAGGGGACAGAAAGACTTAAATGGAACACTCTCATCCTCCCCAGTCACACTTGACTCTGGGAGATGGAACTTTGAAGATTTGATTTCTTAGAAATACAATTGGACCAGGATTCTAGTAATGCCATAAGGGAATGAAGTGGCTAAGACAGCAGGCCTCTGGCTCTTGAAAAGTCTCTGGGAGAACACTGACCACTTGGTATTGCTTCATTATTTTTGCTCTGTGTGTGTGTGCACACATGCACGCGCGCTCACGCATGTGCATATCTGTTTATCTAGCTTTAAAATATATCTAGACAGACTGGTCAGACAGCCACCTTTTGTTCCCATCTCCGTTCCTTGAACTTTTCTTTATCTTTTATAGTGTATTTTAGTGAGAATTTTATGCGTATAAAAATAAAGAATTCTATCCTGAGATTTTATGTGGACATGCCATAAAACTAATATTTTCCACTAATATTGGAAGGCTTTTCTTATGAAAAAAGAGTTTTAGCTTACAATAGATGATATAAGGAAATAACAGACTGTGTTGTTCATTAGACAGCAACACCTATTAGATTTTAGGCCATTTTAATGTATGAATGTCTCTGTTTATCAGAGCTGTACACTTTTGCTACAGAACTCATTCAGGTCCATCTGGTTATCACTCAATATCCATTAATCAGTTAATGGATATACTCAAACCATGAGAGACTTGAGAGACCTGACATCAAATCTCAGTTTCAACTAGCAAAGAGAAAATGACTAAACAATTGTGTATTTATAGTAAATCTAAAAGTTGCATGGCTCAGACATATACTAAAAATGTAAGGCACACACCAGTGAAGTGTATCTCAAATCATGTCCTGAAACTTCTTATGTTCTTGACAATGCTTGGAATCCCTGTGATCTGTTGACAGCAGGGAAGCCTATATTTCCTGGTTTAACTCATCATTTTTTAAATTCTTCCAAGGATCTGAATTCCAATTCAGTATAAGATCTTTCTGCTCTTTGGAACCAGCATATAAACAAAAGTGAACTCTATGAACAATAATGTGTTTTTCACGATTAGACCTGTTCGGGTAGAGACCAATCAACACCTTGGCAAACTTCAAAGTGGAATTTTATTCATCTTAATTATTCTGTTTATCTTGTGTGTACAATTCTATGATGACTATATATTGAGACGCTCCTGCCAAGGTGGATAGACTGTTAAAATATACATTTCATATTCTACATTAATAGAATGTTAATATATTTACATGAAATATATAGCATTTCTCAGCACATTGAACTTGATAACCTCCCCTTAAATGTTGAAGTTATATCATTTCCCTCAGTTCCCTTACTTGATCCTAAAACTCTTCAAAATGTCTTTGCTTTTTTTTTTCTAGTGTACAGGGGTCCATCCTAAACCCTACTCATCTTTGACTTACAAGCATGACTGAGACATTCAAAATTTACCTGCCTACTAATTTCTACCTGGGAATGTCAATAACTAAGATAAAGGTCCTAAATTATTGCTAATTAAGTCCATTACCACTAACCTTAGGCCATGTCTGAATTAATCTGTTTCATGGAAAAATTTACATTACATACATCTTAAAACAGAGCCTATACTCAGTATTTCCTTTGTGAATATGTTTTTTTGCATACAAGCAATTTTACTTATCATGTTGATTATGAAGATGAATAAAAGTTTTATTTTTTAAGAATAAAAAAAAATTGTTCTTTCATAATTTGTGAGAATTTGTTAATCCCAAAGTTTACTTATATAAAACTTATAAAATTTAAGGCTGTATAGAAAATGTAACTCTATAATAAAGACACTCCTTTAAGAACAAGAAGTGTTAATCATGTATAAAGCTATTTGTTAATCATCAATACTTCTTATGTATTAAAAGAGTTACTTGGGACTGAAGTATGTTATGGATCACAGGCTAGAGTATAAATTTAGTTATATCTCTCTCCTAGTTTCTTCACATCATCAAATTACTTTCTGGATATTCCTTAAGTTTTTAAATGTGAAACATAACTTCAGCTTGTACAAATCATCGTCACTGTGCAGTTTCCCATTACTCTGTGAATATAGTTTTTTATATCTCAACTTTAACATTAATTAGTTTCTAACTAGTCTAAGTAAACTAAGTCATTATTTCAAAGAGTTCTTTTAAAAATATAACAAAATTCAGGCTTCTGATTTGCTGTGAAAGAGCATTTGCATTTCAACTTACTTGAAATCTGTAGAAGGTACCATCATCCTTAAGTGTGAGGACGTGATCTGAGATCGGAAAGAAGTATCCATGGGCAGCCATGAGTGTTCCCAAATGGAGTGCTTCCACTGTCCCAATCATGTGAGGGAAAACAAAAGAACACATGACAGCTTTTAAATTTTACTCAACTTTTTTCTATTGATTTACAAGAAAGTGACATTTTATCTGGTTGTTTTTGAGCATGTGCTTGAGATCAAATTTTTAACATTTTGGTTGAAGCAGGAGGATTACCATGAATCTTGGCTATACAGCAAGACTCTGTTACAGAGAGAGAGAGAGAGAGAGAGAGAGAGAGAGAGAGAGAGAGAGAATACATGCTCTCAGTTCAAATTCAAGACCTTCCTAGAGCAGCACAGCTACATATTCTAGTGAAAACTCTGGAACTCATGTGATATACAAAGAACAAAAACTTAAGAAATTCACACTATCTTTTGTTATTTAAAGTCCTGGTACTCCCGTATCTATCGGTAAAGAACACACCTTGCAAAGCTGGTGTGAGAATTACATAAGAATATGTGCAGTGGAGATGGACCAGTGCTGTACACAGTAGCTGCTGGATGGATATATAGGAGTTATTACACTTTATTACTTACACAATAAGTTTGACATCTTTCCAAGGTACTTTCCTGGATATCTACTCCCTTAGATTTGCCGCCAAAAGACTAACCAGGGAAGCTGACAACTCTAAATAATATCAGGAAGTCATTTCCATACTTGCTTAGTTGTTTTTGAATTGTCCATAAAATTAAAATATAAGGATCTTTGAGGACAGCTAGCCATTACAATAGCCAGGTGCCTGCAGCTTTGGTGGAGTTCTGGGTCCCTGCGTGGCCCTGGCAAAGAGCCCTGAGCAGAACAATTTCAGGTGGCTCATTTATCCTCTGACAATCATTTCTAATCACTTTGGTCCCAGAGTCTCTGACCCGGGAAAACAATATTAACACACTTACCAGCAAGAGAAATTAAGTTACATCACAAGAGGATGATTACAGAATCCAGATACAAGAAGGAAAGAGACAGTAGACTGCTTCCGAGCTCTAAGCCTGGAAAAGCATGTCACATAAAAATCAAAACAAACCTTTCTGATGAGACATATAAACAGTGAACCCCTAGACCTCTCTTGAGGTACAGCACTCTGTTTTAGACTGAATGACTTTTTTTCTTTTACTGTATATATTCTCATTTACTCTCTCTTTAAGAAATACATATTGCTTAATGAAACGTATGAAGTCATTATCCACAGATAAGAACTATTAGACTTAGACCTAGCCACTCCATGAGTGTATAGTATAAGGTCTAAATTATTCAAGGAAAAACCAAACATAAGAAAACAATAGATTTGTTTACATGTTCCAAATATAAGCAAAATAGTTCATAGAGTACAGATAACTGTAAATATGGGGGAAACATAGTTAATCTCATTTTTATTTTAATGTCTATTGCCTTAATCTGTTATATTTGCTCCATTAAGCCAAGCAATGCTCTTGGTTATTTTAAGTATAGTCATCCTATTATATGTCACTTACAAATGTTATGTCAGACACAGAGGATAAAAGAAAAGTAAGGTTTGGATCATGCTGGCTAACAGTTTTGATATAATCCAGGTGTTTCTTTCTTATTGTCTCTACCACCTAGCTATTCCTCACTCCTGAAGACTGCTATCTCCCCTACAACTGAACCTCATCTACATCAGATTCTAGGAATGAGTCTTCCCAAGATGACCTGGGAATAAATAATATGTAACTCCTGCATGCACAAAATGTGATGCTTGGCCAACAGGGGTACTGTGAAAGAAAAGTTCCCAAAAGAAATCCTGCACCTTGGACTGAACTGCCTGCGAGGCTCACCAACTGATTATCACTCCGAAGATTGTGGAGAGTTTAGAATGCTGCAGATCCAGAGCCTTATTCACATTTTACCTGGGGATATCTTTAACCCCCCAAATAGTCAAACATTGCCTACCTCTGGTTCTGAATTAACATTCTGATGACTAATAAAATGTATTAGCTTAGCAGACCACCATGTCTCACCAATCAAAAAAGCTAAGAATGTCATCAGATGGCAGCTGAGACCTATAGTAAGAACGCTCCCGTTTTGCTATAACCCGCCTACTGAATGTATCCACCAATGTTTGAAATGTGTCTTGATTTATGAATTATCTTTGTTCTGATGCTATAAAAATGTAAGGCAACTGTTACCACACTGGAACATGGAATTTGGGGTATCCTGAATCTGTGTTCCCAGGCCATGGTCACTCATATTTGGCTCCAGAATGATCTCTTATCAAAAAAGCAAAACAAACAAACAAAAAGAGATACATATTGCTCGACAGTAGACCCTATTGCTGAAGACACTATATATATGAACCATAGAGCAAACAAGGAAAAAGCATGCTGGTGCTGACTTCAGAGAATCATCTACACTGTCTAGCTTTCATAGTGGTGAAAGGTGCTATACATGCTGCCTGAAGAGAACATTAATCATCAACGTTATCCAGTTGTGAATCCTATGAGCTACAACTGGCCTGGCAAGATATGCCCACTGGTGCAATAGTAGCACAAATATTAGGGAGTAACTGACCACTTTCTAACTGGATTTAAGGTCCATTTCTTAAGATGGAACCCATACATGCCTAGGAACTTGAGGCTAGATAGTTTACAGACCTAGTGCTAAAGGAGATCCTAATAATATTATTCTGCTAAATAGACATAGTATTCGACCACCTTCTAATGATTTATTGTTATGCACATAGATTAATTCATCTCTCAACTCTCAGCAGAGAATATCCTTTATGCAGCAGATGGTGATTAACAAAGAAACCCCCAACTGGCCAATGTGTAGAAAGTTCTTATCCCTGAATAGGACACCTATATCAAACTTCTGTCCCCAAAGGCTAAGGGATCATTGTGAAAGAGGGGTCAGAGAGTTTCTAAGAACCAGAATTAGTGGATGACTACAAGGATACAGAGTTTTCCAGATACCTGGGCAATTACTCATATGAACTCACAGCAATGGGGGCAGCATGCACAAGTCTCAAGAAAGCTCAACCACACCAAATCCCATCATATACATGGAGAAGTGGGGGAAAATACTACCTAAGGGACTATTGGCAATTCATGGCTGCTGAGAAGACGGTGTTAGTCTTATTTAAGGGATAAGACTCTTGGTAGGGCTCATATATAAATATAGAAATTAGAGATAGAGATGATAGAGATAGAGATAGATAGAGATAGATAGATAGATGGATAGATATGAAACTGGGTGGGAGGGGATATGAGAGTGAATGTAAATATGATGAAAATATATTGTATGAAAACATTTTAAATTCTATAAAAATTAAAACAGAAAAAGAGAGATACATGTGCTCTACATTTGTTATTAAGGAACACTTTTTGATATTCAGCATCAAGCTTTGAATTCAGTGACTTTCTGCTCTTAGGCACCCATCTTTATGAGAGTATGGTATAGTTTCTTCCTCAGGCACATACACTTCCAATATCAAGGTAAAGCCAAACCACTTGATTTGATATTTAGGAAGACTGACCTTCTAACAAAGCTTATAGAATGAATTTCTAGGTATTTGATCAAGACCTAAGAGAGATTCAGATTATAGATATGGTTTCCCCTACAATATTTCCAGAATAAATGGTTCAGGGAAAAATCAGCTAGTCAGGGTAAGTTTTATGTTTGACTTGGGACCATATTCATTCTACTAACACTTAGATTGTCAATGATAAAAAGAAGCTTTTGAATCAATACTGCTGCATGAATGAACAAGTAAATTCAAATAAATGGTCCATCCAGAAAAGGAGAAACAGCACTGCCTGGAAAAAAAGGCCAATTGGTTTTATATTGTGATTATGAGCATCCTGTTCAGCTTTGCTAAGAGAGTGGCAAGGCTAATTTGTCTTTTCACAATACTTCTATAAGGATTTCAAGTGTATCTGTTGTAAGGCAATAATGCTATTAATGGCACAAGCCAGGAACAGATCTTAGTGCTTGGGTTTGTATTCCCTAATCTGACTTGTTTGTTCTTCAATATAATCATGGAGCTACACATTCCTGTGATTCCACTGCTCCAACAATTGCAACTTGACCTCAATTTTATAAGAACCTGGAAGGCGAATTTAGCAGACTGCCTGAGAGTGTCTGGATCCAGCCTCTGCAGGGTCAACCCAAGCCTAGACCAACCAGCTTTACATACCAAATAAGAAAACAACTAAGGCACACCAATAAAACAAACAGAAGCATACTTCAAATCAACAAAGGAAGGCTTGAGTTTAATACCAGGATCATAAACAACAAAAGAAATCCACATGCCAAAATCACAATGAAAAAATAATAACACAGAAAACCAAAACAATATGTTCCCACCAAACACCACCAGTCTTGTAGAAGAGTTCTACAAGGAGAAACACCCCCCCAGAGATAACCAGGGTTTACAGAATTTAAAAGAACAATCATAAACATGATAAAAGAAGTCAATGAATTTAAAGAGCACACAAAGAAATCAAAGAACTAAAAGAAGATACAGATAAACTTCTTAATGAATTCACAAAAGAGATAGAACTATTGAAGAAAACTGAGGCTGGAATGAAGAAGGAATGAAAAACTCAGTAGGCCAATCTGAAACAACAGAAGAAAAAGCCTCACCAATACGATGGATGAAATGGAAAACAGAATATCAAGACTGGACAATAAAGTTGAAGAACTGAGTTGTTCAAGCAAAGATTATGAAAAAAAAATTAAAATACAGTAATGGGAATACACAGTAAAAGTGGGACACAGGCTGCTTGGATGAATTAAGAAACAAAATCCATCCTTTTTTTATCTGCAAGAAATGCATCTCACCTTCAAGGACAGTCATTACCTTAAGGTGAAACAATGGAAAAGAATATTCCAAGTAAATGACACTAAAAAACAAGCAGAGGTTACAATTCTAATACCTGACAAAGTAGACTTCAAACTAAAAGTAATCAGAAGAGGAAACGAGAGTTACTTTGTTCTGATCAAAGGAACAGTTGACCAAGAAGATATTACAACCATGAAAGTACATGCACCAAACTCT